AAACATTCCTGAATGTGCCCAATGTCTGATGACTGCCCATGCAAATAACTACACATTAGTCAATTCTGCCACATTTTTTATTCACAAGAGTGGTGCAGAGAAGGAGAAGGAGCATCTGGTCCTGTAGAGGACATCCTGATGGGCACTGAAACTCTCCATATGATGCAGCCCTTCTGGGGATACAAGCTGACTAAAAGGGCTTCAGTGACTGCTGATATTTTCACCCTTTAACAAAGGTTTTATGAAAATCTGTTTCAGCTTCTTGGCTGTTCAGGAAGAATTTGTTGTGGCTACAATTTGCATATTTGGTGTCCCCGCAGATGTTTGCAAAGACTTTGTGAGTGTGTGTGTGTGTGTGTGTGTGTGTTACTTGCTGCAACATGAAGAACTTGAAAAGTAAATACAGTGAGAAATATCAGTACATAACATTCCTCAACACAAGTCACTGGAAAATTGTTTTGAGGTTGTGTGTCATGTACACAGAGGTTTCCACAAGTGTTCTCTAAAAACTCAATTGAAAGTCCTTGTTTTACAAAGGCTCCTGCACAACCAGTCTCAAGTCCCATGTACTCAGAGTTGCACGAGGCCAATCAGTGATATTTATTATATCAATAATAATATCAACAGTGATATTTATTATTATCAACACTGATATTTATTTCAGTACTGAATTTTAGAAGATGACTGAATCAGTCCCAAAGTGCACAGGCATTGAAACCCCATTGAAAATACTGACAATTAGACACTTAGCCACTCTAAAGAGTTGGGGGTTTGGATATTGTATCAGGTAGAAGGGGGCACAATATTCACATTCACAAATAGTAAATGACAAATGGCAGCTGACATGGTTTTACCCTAGAACTGGGAATAAATTAATTTGCAAACCAGCAAGGGCAAAACCTCCAAACTAATGATATTTGAATCAGATAAAGTTATACAATCAAGGTGAGGGAAGGGATTCTGCCCCTCTGCCCGGCTCTGCTGAGCCCCCCCTGCAGGGCTGCATCCAGCCCTGGGCCCTGCACAGGAAGGACAGGGAGCTGCTGCAGCCAGGCCAGAGCAGGGACACCAAGGGCATCAGAGGGATGGAGCAGCTCTGCTGGGAGGAAAGGCTGAGGGAATTGGAGAGGGAGGGAATTCTTCCTGGAGAAGTTTTGGGGTGACCTCATTGTGCCTGAAGGGAACCTACTGGAAAAATGGAGAGAGACTTTTGGCAAGGGCCTGGAGTGACAGGACAAGGGGAAATGGCTCCAAAGTGACAGAGAGGAGGCTTAGGTGGGAGATGAGGAAGAAATTCTTCCCTGTGAGTGTGGTGAGGCCCTGGCATAGGTTGCCCGGAAAGCAACCATCTTTTCAATGTGATGCAGGCAAGATGTTTCTGTGGTAATCATTGCTTACTTAATTAATTACTGAAGGGACCCATCTCTTCCTGGCAGTTTTAAATCACCTGTTGTGCTTTCAATATCTGTTGAAAAATATTTGGAAGTGACCATAGTGTCATTATGGAAACACAATAACTTGGCTACTAATACTGCAAACAGAGCTGTGTTACATGTACTGTTCATCTGGGGAAGAGCAGACTGAGGTCAGAGCTCAGAGAAGTTCTGCAGCTTCCTCACGAGGGGAAGAGGAGGGACAGGCCCTGATCTCTGCTCTGTGTGCCCAGGGACAGGACCTGAGGGAATGGGGAGAGCTGTGTCAGGGGAGGGTTAGGGTGGGTATCACAAAAGGTTCTTCCCCCAGAGGGTGCTGGGGCACTGAACAGGCTCCCCAGGGAATGGCCATGGCCCCAAAGCTGCCAGAGCTCCAGGAGCATTTGGACAGAGCTCTCAGAAATGCACAGGGTGGGACTGTTGGGGTGTCCTCAGCAGGGCCAGGAGTTGGACTGGATGATCCTGGTGTGTCCTTGCCAATTCAGAATATTCTTTGATTCTATGATGCCATTTTTCATCTCTGATACTTGTAAAAATTTCTGTGTGACACTGTCAGCCTCAGAAACTCTTAGTAGTGCACAAATTCAGGTAACCCAGGCCCCCTCACAGGTGTACTCAGTGAAATTAAAGCTAATGAGTGTTTATAGGTACATGCTTACAAGTACTTTTGATAGCAGGGCTAAGAATAATTTGCATATGAGATAGAATTCAGTACTCAAGTTTAGGCCTGTAGAGCACATGACTTCTGCCTTTAGTTTTGAAAGCAGAGATTGCTTTCTGGGGTACTGGGATTATTTGCACAGAGGGTTTTTGAAACTAAAAAAGCCACCTGTCTGCCAAGACCCAGCTTCTTTTTGAAACACTGTTTGCACACAGAACTGCCCAAGGGCTTTGCTATGAGGCAGAGCCTTGGGTTCCTGGACCCAGTAGTAGTGAAAATGAGACCTGGGAGGCAGGGCAGGTAGCTGGCAGGGCAGGGAATAACAGGGTACAGAAAAGGGCACCATCCCAGCACCTCTGAAGGAGGCAGAGGAGAAAGAAGCAATAGTATCAGGAGTCTCCATTGCTGAAGAGCTGTAGGCAAGAGTCCTGAGCTTGCTGTGCTGCTTTTGGCATAGCTTTCTGTTCCTCAAAAACTCCACAGAACAGCTGTATCCAGCCATCAAAGTGCCTGATTACAGAGCACTGTGCCTTCTGCAAGGTCCCTGACCTCACAAAAGTATGTCTTTGCAAACAGAGGCCATTTCACCTGAGCAGAAGAACATACAGGAGAACACAAGCTTCTGGCACTAGCAACGAGCTTTCTGGAAATCTGGAACATTTTTCTTTCCCCCTTGCTTTTCACTTAGGTCACAGCTTGGGCTTTTCTAGCAATGGCTGGGAGCCAAATTCCCTAAAACTGCTAGAAAGGCAGTTCTCATACTATTTACAGCATAACTGGAAGCCAGAATTAGCAGCTATCTCATGAGTAAGCTCATTCTCATGAGATTTCTGGTCCAACTTTGCACAATGGAGGAGACAGAAGTGTTATGGCAGGACCATCTTAAGCTCCGTACAAATATTACACGCCCAGACTGGTGCATTGTGCTTTAAACTGAAGTATTTTAATCAAAGGTGTGCCAGCTCCACAGAAACAGAAGAAGGGAGTTCCCTAATGACACGTTTATCTCATATCCTGGCAGGGAGAGCTTTTCAAAGCCTCTGGTCTGTGTGCTGCACGCAGATGGGGCCAGGAAACAAGATGTTTACTGACTGTTTTTGGTGGGGCTGTCCTTTTTCAGGAGCTAGGAGATGTGTTTTAGATTTCTCCCACTTTTCCCCAAACAGACCTTCTCCTTTCTCGAGATGAATCATTAATTATTGACTATGAGGAAAAAGAAGACATATCCCAGAAAGGTCAGGCTCTTGGATTCTGAGGATGATTCTGATTTGGACTCAGAGGTGACACGAGCTGGGGTGAGAAGCTTCAGGATAGGGGCGTTTGCTGCATGTCTCCTACTGTAAAAACTCCAGTGCCAAGAGAACTTCAACCAAGCAACGCACCTGGAGTGTTCAGGTGCACTAGGAATGACTATTTCAGAGCCTCAGGGTGCCTCGTATTGCACCTGAGGAGCAAATAAACATATTTTATAGGTTTGGACCAATGTGCTCGCCTCTCATCTAGTTTCTGGATTTGCAGATTGGTGTCTACATTTAGTTTCAATTTACTGCCAGGTAGAAAAAGTTAAAACCACACAATTATTCTGAATGAACTCCCCATCGAAATTATCACTTCCTTTACCCTGAAAACACAAGGTAAACCTCAATTCATAGGAGCATCTTCTTGCTAAACAGCTATTTATTTGATGATTCAACAACACTTTAGGTTCTCATGTCAAACTTTAAAGCAATTAGAAATGATGATTTATGAAATAAAGTGGTATGGAAACCATATGTCAAGAGACACAGGGAGCTTCATGGGCCTTCCTCAACAGCAGCAGCAGGACTTTATTTCAGCATGTTTAGACTTTAGATTTAGTTTTTAAATTTGGCTCAGTGCTTTTCTTTTACTGTTTCTGTTAGAAAGGAAGATCTGTTCCTATGCATACTAGAGGCAAAGCCAAAATTCTTTTTTTAATATATATTTAAGAGCAGGATCAAACCACTATTTATTTATACACCAATTAAGAAGTTCCATCCTTCCAGCTGGGAAAATGCTGTCAGACCAAATTTGTTACGTACTGTACATTTTATTTTTGGAGCAGAGAGCTAACAGTAAGTTGAGAGATTTTTTTTTCCCAGCAGAAAAGATATAGTGAATGTTTTGAGGCATTCCTGGAATTAGATCAAGTTTTGAACTGGAGGCAAAAATCAGTGGCTCACATCATGAAAAACAATTAAAAAAAAAAAACAGAAAAGAAAAGAAAAAAAATAATATCCTGTGTAATTATATTAGTTGGACTAATATTAACAGCAATTATTGTCACTGTTATTTATTGTTCAAAGCCTATTGCAATTGGCATTTGGAAATCAATTCCCTAGAAGCTGTGACTGCCCCATCCCTGGAAGTGTCCAAGGCCAGGCTGGATGTGGCTCTGAGCAGCCTGGGATAGTGGCAGGTGTCCCTGCCCATGGCAGAGGGTTGGAACTTGATGATCCTTAAAGGTCCCTTCCAACCAAAACCACTCCATGATTCCATGATATCTGTGGTTTCAGGAAAATTGCAGTAATTTTTCAGCAAATTCCAGAACATCAATCCCACTTCTCCATCTTGATCATGCTTGGTCTTCACAGCAAACAGCACAGTGAACTTTTTATGGAAAAGCTTTTATGCTTCAGGGTAAATTCCACCCAAATCCTGCAGAACAGTTCTGTGAAGTGGCTAGAATGAACATTAGTGATTTGCTTTAGAAACCTAACTTCAGAATTTACATTCCTCAGGGAACAGGGACATTAGCTCTGATGACATTTTTTCCAGTAAACTGGCTGGAAGTTCAAATATGTGCAGCAAAATATTTATGTTGATCACTGAGATATGTGTATGGATCACATACACATATCACATACACATGTATGGACTAGCCCTGACCAGGGCTAGTCAGGAAAGGATTCCACTCCACACCTAAGAAAAAATTGACACCACTGAGAAAAATATTACTCAACAAAAGCTGAAATTTCATGAGGTTACATGATCACCACTTGCAAGTCAATTGAATGAAGGTTCATCAATTAAATTATTTATCTCAGTTATCTTACTAGATATAACACTCAAATCATGTTTTTTAATCACATTCTGGAAGAAGTTTTCTCCATCTGAAACAGCTGCCTCTCTCAGCAGGTCACTTGAGGCTCAGAACATGAAGAGAAGAAGGATAGCTCAAGAAATTATTCTTACAGGCTATTTTCTGCAATAATGCAGAATCATACAGAAAACATTCTTTTTCTTTGAAAAAAAAATAAAAAAGCAAACTGTTATTTAATTTTCTAGTTTGCTCATACAGAAAAACTCCAAACAACCAAAAAACCCATAGAAATGGTCAAAACAGCTTGATCTAGAAACTCCACAAACTTTTTGTGCCCTGGGATCAATGCAGCATCCAAAAGGATTTGTCATTTGGCATCCCATGGTTTGGGAGTACCTGATTTATGACCAAGTGATCAGAGGGAGGGATGCCTAAAGCTTTTTATAACATCTATAATAAGCCCATGTAAACACACTCCTCTGACTGTGATTTCATTCACCTTGATACATTGGGCCATCATATAAAGAACTTGATGTAGTAAAATTCTGAGGAACTCCCAAATTACTGGCTGGGACCTGTTAGAACTGGTGGAACTTGACAAAAATAAGAACACCTTTCATTTTCCTCAGGTACTGATGCTGAGAAGGCAAAACTTTTAGCCAAGGACAGGCAGCAGGACTCTTCAGATCATCCTGTGCTCCATCAAAAACAACTCCTGCAGGAAGATTTGTGTGTATTACACTGTGCTAGTAGCAGATTAGTAAAAAGAAGGCAATACACCTGAAAATCTCTGTATTATTAAATATTTTGCATCTTGGTTAGTTGTTGTTATTCCCATAGCAAAAACAGCTCATTCTGTCTTTTTCATTCAAGAAGGATTTTTTTTATGCAAAAGCTTCTTACAAAATTATATGTTTGGGATATGAAACTTCTTACTTTTTCCCAGACTAAGATGGGAAAATATCCTTCCCAGAAAAAACAAAACAAAACAAAAGTGCTTTGACAAGCTGTAAGTATCTGAAATCAACATATTCTAACAGATCATAATTTTTAATATCAGCAGACCCAAAAGATGCTTGCAACAATCAGGATGAAATAACAGTGTAATGCAGGTTTATAACAGCAGACTTCTTTCCTTTTTTAAATCTCCACAAGTTGCTTGTTTTGGCATCTTAGAAAGGCCTTAATGGCACACATATCCTAGCTACTGCTGCTTTTTGTCAAAATATTAAATTTCTTTTGTAGGATGCATGAGCTGCTGGTGTGAGGGGAAAGGTGAGCAGGTCTGATTGCGTTCTGTCCATGTCACTTGGTCTCTTAAGTTCTGGTCAGTTTTGGATGTTACCTTGTTTTGTCAGTGCCAGACATCTCTGTTTTTCAGTTTGATTGAAATTAACCCATGTGGTCCTTAATCTACCAAATATCACAACACCAAATAGTGCTAGAGTCCAGGGACAGTGAAAAGCCCAAAATGCTCAAAAACTTGCTTGTTAACTTCTCCCAAAGCTGAGCACTGCTCTGAGTGGAGTTTGGCTCTGCTGCTTTGCTGGGAGAGATAAGAATGTGTAGTTTGTGATCTGATACCTCATAAGGAAGCAGCACAGGAGTTCATTAAATATCCCAGCCTCTAATGTGTTGAATGGGCACCGAGGCTGCTCATTCCCTGCCATCTGTTCCGTGAGGAGTTCAGAGCACTATGGAGTTCTTCTTTCAGCCTGACAGATCCAAAGACACTTTTATCTGGGAAAAAAGTGCCCTCAAGGGGGAAATGGTAGGAGATAAGCCTTCTGCTAAGACTCTGCTTGCTGGCATTGTGGCCATCATTCAGGAGCACTGAAAAGAAGTGGGATTAGAGCAAAAACTGCTGACGTGTGTTTGAATGAGATCTATGCAAGACTGTTGCTCAAGCAGTTCTCTAAATCTGCATCTATTCCAGGTGCATGCCATGATTGGTCTCCACAGGGGGTAGGGATGAGCCAAAGGGAAGCAGATCACAGAGTCTGCTTTTGGCATCCCTGCATTTTGGTTGCACAGCCATACATGAGCATGACCTTAGGCTGCCATATGGAGGGGGCATCCTTGTGAGGTAGACTTTTCACAGCCTGGGTGGGCAATGGAGCACCAGGAAAGAATGCCAGCGCAGGAAGCCAAGGGCTTGCTCAGCCCAGAGTATCTACAGGGGTGGCTGCTTCCATCATAAAGCCTTGGTCTGAGAGGATAAACACTGGGCAAGCAAAGCATTGCTGAAGCTGCCTGGGAGATAGAATGGGTTTCTTGTGTCCATTCCACCATTTCCAGTGAAGGGCTGTGGGAGCAGCAGAACAGTGTTGCCTCTGCACCCATCCAGCTGCTTGCTTGACCACAGTGCACACCCCTGGGGTTCAGTTGCCTGTGCCCCAGCCTAGCCCAGTTGTGGTGCAGCTGTGTGACCTTGGATCTGACCGCTGGGAAGGAGCTGGGAAAAGCCCCACTGGGAGACTCTCCTCTTCCCTTTGGAGCCACCCTTAAGGCCCTCAGCGTTGATGTTTGCATGAGCTACAAAGCAGCTGTGCCTGTGTCTGGCCATGCACCTCACTGATCCACATCAGGGTCCCGCCTCATTTCTCCAAATTTTCCTGGCCATCAGTGATCAGATGGCTGCTCCTGCTTACTGGCACTCAGGTCCTGTGACACTTTGGCATTCAGGTGCTGCAGGGCTAAACCCTGGTTGGTGAGACATGACCCTGCCCATCCTGTTGGTACTGAGATTATCTTCCCATGGGAAGCATCATTCAACTCCCAGCCATAGCTGCCTGCTCCATCACACCAGTCAATCGTAGGCATTCAGGAGAGGAAAGAGCTAAGCCATGGCTATTTATCACTAGTTTAATTCAGCTGAATTTAGGGACCTGCTTCTGATGCTTGGTAACCAGAAGAGAATCACTGTGCATTCATTGAGGGTGGGAAAGGCTTGTGCATTTGTTTTTGCTGTCCGGAAAATATTGCCCCCTGTAATCTCCAGAGATGTGTCTTGCTTATCTTCACATGACTGAGAAACTGGAAAGTTCATCATTTCCTAGAAAGACTATCATACAACCTAAAAAATTCTTAGCATCAGGAAATGCTAAGAAAGAAAGAAAGCATCTTCTGGGAGGAAAAACTTTTAATCAGAAGCCTGTGAATTGAGCCACTGACCAAATAGCAGATTCTGTGCTTAGCTGGGAAATATTTTTTGCCTTTGAAAGCCATGGACCACTGGAAGTGGGACCCACAAAAATCCCAGAGAAACCAACCAACCAACCAACCAACCAACCAACATGTTCCAGGGACCAGCTTTCCCAGAGCCAAAAGCACAAGGACCACCAAAAGCCAAAGTAACCAGAACATCTGAGTTGACATATCTGTATATTCCCATCCAATGGAAAACTCCCATGGCTCCTGAGCAGCTTGGAGGTCCCCAAGGATCTACCTGTAGCCTCACAACTTGTTGCAATTACAGTGAAGCTGCCAGACAAGATTCCATTTATGTCTACAGAGACAGTTTGCTGTTTATAGAGAACTATCTTCATGCGGTTCATGGCGACCTGATCCCCAATTAATTTTTTTCTGTGGTTTGATCTGTATAAGAGGTCACTATAATATAAAAAGATAAAGTTCCATGTGTATGGAAAATCATGCTATGAAAAGCTGGCGTCCATAAAGGAGACAGAGGAGTCCTGCAACTTTATTTGAATAAAGGGAGAGAGTCCACTGGACCACACACCTGCATGGTTTTCTCTTGAGTTTTGGAGGGCGCAGCCTCCTTTTATCCCGAACTTCCAGCTGCATGTTGCCCTCTTCCTTTCCCCACTGGCTGAGGTACTAGGAAGGTACAGCCTTTCCAAACTGCCTGCTACATACCCACCTTTACCCAAAGTTCAGAAACTCAGGCTTGTGTGGTCCCATTGGTCTGCTTCAGGAGTCAAACTGTCCGGTTCTGTAACAAACCTGTGGCTTGAAGTTGGTAGACACATTAGGACCCATTTCAAAGACGCTAATCTTCACTTAATTGTTTGTTAAGACATTACCACACCTTTCCTTTCACATGCAACCACTTGTTTTCTTTTTTCAATGACCATCCCAACCTGACTTGGTTGTCCTCTAATATCCTTCCCCTTTTAAGGCTATAGATTTATTACCTCCTACTGGCACAGTATTTTTTAAGCAGTATTGCTGGGAGAATCAGAGAGAAAGATGTATTTTAAAGGCAGTACAGTGCCTGCCTGGAAGCCCCTTTCCCAATCCCAATCCAAGTGTGGGAGGGTATGTTTCTTTAAGGCTGGTTATGTGTTCATGTAACAAGGCAAGTGCATACGTGAAACGAGCTTCTGCTGAAGCTTTAAGTCTGCAGGGAATTTTCTAATGATCGTTTTTAGTTAATAGGCACAAGTTGTTAGCCTGAGCTGGGAAAGCCTTTTTTTGTGTGAGCCAATTCCACCCCCTCTTTTTTTTTTTTTTTTTTTTTTTTTGTCATGGATTTAGTTCCCACAGCTAATGCACCTAATAATGAGACTGGGCAAGCGAATGCCAGCGTAATGATATGGAGCTTGTTTGGCCCTGACAAAGAACACAGAGCGGCTGGATGGCCTAAACGACAGACCAAGGGCTCTTATTCATCCCAAAGGATCTCTCTCCTTGCGTGCCACCGAATCCCACAGAAGGCAAGGCCGCACCTCAGGGCGGGCGAGGTGTCCGGCAGGCGCCACAATGCCCCCCACAGTGCCCCCTGAGCCCCCGGCGCAGGGCCTGTCACTAAATGGGGCGTGAAACAGAAACAGTCAAGGGTTAAGCCCTTGGCTGAATCTTTTAATTGCTGTTTCCTAACACACATACGCACCAGCCAGTTAGAGAGAGGGAAAACATCCTTTAAAACTTACCAGACAGGTTACAAGGACCTCGCTCAGCCCCAGCTCCCCCAGCTCCGGTGGACAGCAGGGGGTGGTGGTCTGTCTTTTTAACCGGCATTTTCCCCTCAGCGGTTTTCCTCTGCCCTTCCCCTCCTCTTGCAAGCTGAGTTAATAAACACCTAGCAGCTTACTCCGTGGCGTCTGTGTGCAAACAGCTCCCACTGAGCCAGTGAAAACTGTCCCTGCAGGAATGCCATTAAGAGCCTTTTCCACCTTGGCCTCCCGGAGCACTGCACAAAGGAAGGTGGTGTTCCTCCATTCAGTCCATGGGGACGGAGCAGGTCAGCCCAGATCCCTTCCCATCGTTCGTGTCCCTCCAGTTCAGTCACTCTGACTCTCCATTTCTGTGGCTTGGCTCCGGTTTTCCACTTGTCACAGCCCACCAAATCCTCCTCAAGTCAGGGAACTCCGAGCGAGAGAGGAGCAGGTTAAAATCGCTGTGGGCATGAGAGACATTGGGGTGGGACAGGGCTGCCAGCAGATGGAAGCTCAGTGGTGTCCTAGAAGACCCCACTAGGACTCCTCTTTAACAGGGATCAAACCAGAGGAAATTATGAGCTAAGCCTTGAGGGCTGCCTTAGGTTAAAAAGATCTCTTTTTAAGTAGCTCTATGGATAAGTAATTTGAAAGAAACCATTTACTTTATTGTATTTTACCTCTTACAGAATTTCTGCCAGCAACTGATCAGATTCTTACTACTCTACAAAAATATTCAGCACTGAAGAGAATTATTCATAATTTACATAATATTGCATTATTTTAAACAGACTTCTCTCTCTTCTTGAGGAAAACATTTGTTTTGGTGTAGCTGAGTCTGTGACGTATTCCTTGTTTTGAGCTGGATGACCATGAACTCCAGAATCCATATGTGGAAATACTGACCCATCCAAGGCTGAAATAGTGTATACCAGTGTATAGACCGGTTGTTGGTGATAAATAAACTGAATGCTCACAGAAACGTGACATGAGGGGGACATTTGTATGACTGGAGCAAATTCCTGTATGGATTTTAATGAACTCTCATGGAGAAATGATTGCAGAACCAGTTAGTTCTAAAGTGTCTGATTGAGATGCTTGTATGTACAATCAGTACTTGACATATTGGCAGGATATGCCATAAAACTGCCTTGCACACTCTTTGTGATCTTGTCATCAGGCACAGGGGAGATGCCATTACACAGATACATCTTCTTTGCTTTCGTCTAAAGGAAATTACTAATCCAGCTTTGCTTGTGGTTATGACAGGCAGGGAGATGGCACATGAGGTTATGGATTCTGCTCTACTGCTACGGGCTCTAGAAGGAAACTCTCAAGCAGGAATAGTCTGGGTTTGAGGTAGCATTGAGGTGTGGCATTATTATTTTTTTAATCAGAGCCTTTTACTGTACACTATAAAAAACTCCATTAGCATTTTCTTTTCAGATGCTCTGCTGCACCACAGCAGCTGTGACTCTTGCAGTCAGGAAAGCAGAACTGGTGTGACTGCAATTCAGGAAAGAAGCTGAAAAGAGAGAAGAAAAAAAAAATAAGGCTTTCTAAGACAGCTTGAAGAAAGCATGCCAATTAAATTTTTAAAGAGAGACAGAGGGTAGGAAGAAAAAAAATAAAAAAGAGCTAAAAATCTGGAGGAACCTGAGGAAATTTGGGGAGGGGAGAGGGGAGGGAGCACAAGAGAACCATAGAAATGAGAAATGAGATGAAGGACGAAGTGAGGAAAGTTAAGGGATTGTTCAGCAGCAGCACACAGATTGAAGCTAATTACTGAGGGAGAAGGAAAGGAGAATCAGAAGAGGACATATGATGAAACATGGAAAGAAGTCCTTGCAAGAAAAGAAGTGAATCCACACAGAAACAAGAGAGAAAGCAAAAAGGAATGTGACCAGGACAAGAAACCTTTCTTAGAGCAGTGCTGTGTGAATGAGCAGGAAGGCAGGGAACAAGTGAGACAGGACTTGTACACCAACACATTTTCCCATTGTTCCCTCCAGCAAGCATTTGAATTTCACTGCAAGCAGTGGCTTTTCACTTGGTGGGGAACCTCCAGTGTCACATCCCACTGGTGGAGGTAGAAACAGCCATTCACCAGCTTGGGTGCATTGAGGAACCCTCTGGCAGCATCATGGAACCTCCAAGGAAAAGTGTCTCTAGGTGGAATGGGGTCAGCCTGCAAGCCTTGGATGCTCTCTGCATTTCTCATTGCAGTGCTGTGTGTTCAACATGGATGTGACACCCTCCAGCGCCTCAGAGAGTAATTCCTACTCTCTCCTACAGAGTGACATAATTTAAAGCCCAGGATTCAAGTTGTATTTCCTACAAAGGATACTTCAGAGGCTCCCCTTGCATTTCCCACCCAGCTCAGTTTAATCACATCCTGGGATAAGAGAAAGGGGAGCAACTTCTGTGCTCCCTGTGCCTCTCTCAGGAATCCTCTGTGTCACAGCTGCTCTGGAAACCTCTCTTCTGGACACAGAAAAAATTCTTAGTAACAGATTGAAGGTATTTGGGCACCTAAAGGCACAGCCAAACACCCACAGAATTTTTCAGAAACGCCTCAGCTGCCTCGGTGCTTTCCTAGTGCCTCTCTTCATCCTAAGGTGCCTACATGCCTTTGAAAAGTTGGCCTTTAGCCCCTTATCCTTATAGAAGTATTTCCCCTGGAATAAATGACAGGCAATTAGTTTAAGAATGAGGCACTCCCTTTTAAATCCAGTACAAATAGTGAGAGTAGATAAATCACCACAAGACCAGTGACTCCAGATAGATATTTTGCCAAAGTAAATCATAAGAATATATTTTTTAAGCTGCCTATGTTAATGCATGGATAAAATGTTTAAATCCTGTTACAGAAGTTTTTTTAAATATAGTTCTCACTTAGCAACTATTTTCCAAAATAAAGGTACTAATGTCAGAATTAAGGTGTGTTGAAAAAGGGCTTTTCTGACAGCTGATGATGCCTCCTGAGATGCAGATGTGAATGAACAACTAGATGTTAAAAATACTAAAAATCTTACAATATTTTAAAAACCAAACACAAAATCCATCAACTAGCTGGGGGCAAAGAAGAAAATTCCTTTTATAAATACAATGGTGCAGAGTTCATTTTAAAGTGCTTGACCAACCACTATCAAATATATCAAATCAGAGAGATAAAATGTGATAAACCCCAGAGAGATATCTATTAATGCTCTTGGACTAAGATTCTCAATGACCACCAGTTACAGAAAAAACCCAGCTAATTCAGGCATTCTGGGATGAATAACTGCTGGAGAGGAATGAAATCCATTAACAAATGAGGACAAGAAGAAGGAAGTTCAAAAGAGCAACAGTGAACTCCTTTTCAAAATGTATCATCAGGACAATAAGCCGGAGTTCTCTGAGAAGGAACGAGTATCCTGTGAATATAAACTGTTGGTAAATGGCAGGAAAGAGACCTCTTGGCATTTGTGAACATGCAAGAAACATCTGGTGCTGACCACAGACATGCCAAATTTCAGCTGACACACGGAGCATAGTGACACCCTGCACTTCAGATGGCAAGTAGCCAGGGGACATTTCAAAATCAGAGGATGAGAGGTTGCAGGAAATGTCTCTGAATTTTAGTCTGTCATGTGCTTATCCAGCAAAATAATAAAAATCAATCAATCGAATCTTCAGTGTTGCTGAGAATTGAATGGTTTTGACTAGACAGAAAACCCACTGAAATCCATTGAAATTTATTTATCTTGTAATTTTAATCTCTTTGGCTCTTAAAAAAACCAACCCTGATGCTGTTTTGCATCTTCTGAGGTACCAGCTCCATTTCTAGGTGTTCTAAAAAATAGCAAAATGCTCAGTGTGGGAAGAGCCTAATGGGTTGATTTGGGTTTGGTTGCATTTCAAGAGTGCCCAAGGGGGTAGAGGAGGAAAACTGATGCTGTGGTATGAGTTGTGAATGTCTCCACACTAGGAGAAGAAGGGATGAATAATTGAGAAGAGAGGGAAATAGTCAAAAGAGATAGTGCTGTTGAAAACAGATAGGAAATAAAATAACTTTGTTTAAAAACATGTTTTCTTCAATCAAGTCTTTTCCATGGTTTTTGATTATATTACAGCACACCATACAGATGATCACAATAACATCTTCTGGCCTTGTATCATGACCACAAGACTTCTAGCCCTGTTGCTGGGAATGGCATCCTCAGGCAACAATCCCTGACAACCAGACCTCCCAGACCCACACACTGAAGGCTCTTGTGAAGGAGCAGAAAACTGGGAGGTGTCCCAGAAGACACCTGCTTTGAGAATACCTACACCATAGACTTCATGGTGGGTGTAGAAGACACAAAGGCAAAGGCTGAAAGAAACCGTGCTTGGTGGCACAGCTTTCAGCTCCCTGTAGTGACACCAGGGCTCTACCTATTGAAATTACTGCAGTTTGAGCAGTTAGCACTCTCAAAAGAAGATTCCTTCTTATCCCTCAAGCTGTTGCCAAGATTTTCTTCCTGCTGTTAGAAAGGCAAGGAGCTTCACCAGTATAAAGCATGTGCCAAGCAAGAGAGAAACCAGACTTCTTAGTTTCAATCTTTGCACTCAGAATAGGACAGCTGCAGAGGCTCAGCAGTAAGATGTGGTGTGAGCAGCGGTGGCTCCAAGCCACAGGGGCTGGTGGCAGTCACACATCAACATAGAACAAAGCATGGGTGAAGAATTTTCACACTGGAAATGTGCTTCAACCTCATAATAAAGCAACAACCTTGTGTGAAACCCAAATATGGGTTTGAACTGCTGCCCCTCCAGAGCATGGATATGTTCAGTGAGCTCCCTATTTCATTTTGGTATCATTGTCTAGCTAACTAGAACTGGAAAGGAAAATATATCATGTTTATGTAAACACCTTGTCTGCCTCTCTGATCCTGTCTTTAGAAGAATCCCAGTTTATTCATTTATTTTTGTGGGTGAGAAGGTGTGTCCCCAAGCATCCTCATATTCTTTAGGAACACTGATTCAGTCTTCCCTCACCTGCCAGCAAGCAATTTTGACTTCCACATTGCAGCTGCAACATTAAGTCTTATCCTCTGGTTGTCTTTTTACCA